TCACCTGAGGTCAGGAGTCCAAGACCAGCCTGGCCAACATGTTGAAACCTTGTCTTTATAAAAATACAAACAAAATTAGCTGGGCACGATGGTGAGTGCCCGTAATCCCAGCTACTTGGGAGGCTGAGATGGGAGAATCTCTTGACCCCGGGAGGTGGAGTTTACAGTGAGCTGAGATTGTGCCATTGCACTCTAGCCTGGGCGACAGAATGAGACTCCATCTAAAAAAAATAATAAGATAAAATAAAAGATAGATGAGTTCTCAAAAATTCAACCAAACAAAACAACAGGCAGGTACTGGGTTGTATAAACGATATCTCAATTATTTTTATTTTATTATACTTTATGAAATACTGGTATTTTGAGTTCAGTGGAATGAACTCATCAAATGCTCACCTGGTACCCAAACGGGAAACTCAAGATGCCTAGGTATTAAAAGTTCTAATTCCAAAGGGGGCTAGAGAGATAAGAAGGTTAAGCCAGAAGCTGAAATGGTTAGGTAAGAAAGTTAGCTGTTGCTTTATAGCTACAAATAAAATTAGGCGAGTTTGTTGAGATAAGAAGGTTAAGCCAGAAGCTGCTTTATAGCTACAAAAAAAATTAGGTGAGTTTTTTAAAAAGATGTTGCTTTGTTGGGAAAGATGTCTTGGAAAAAAGTGAACCTGAAAAAAAAAGATTTGAAATGATCCTTGAGAAAACTTATGTCTGCGCAAAAGCCTGCACGCCCACAGATGTTTACAGCGGCTTTATTCGTAATTGTCAAAACTTGGAACAACTAAGATACTCTTAAGTAGGTGAATATAGATAAGCAAACTGTGATCCATCCCAACAATGGACTATTATTAAGTACTAAAAAGAAATGAGCCATCATAACCATGAAAAGATGTGGAGGAACCTTAAATGCATATGTCTAAGTGAAAGATGGCAATCTGGAAGACTGCATACTTTATGATTCCAACTGTATGATAGTCTGGAAGAGGCAAGTCTGTGAGACCATAAAAAGGTCAGGGGTTGGGGGTTGGCAAAGAGGCATGACTAGGTGGAGCACAGAGGATTTTTAAGGCAGTGAAACCACTTTGTATGATACCATAATGGGTGGATACATGTCACTGTACATTTGTCCAAACTCCCAGAATGAACACCAAGAGTGAACCCTAACATACGCTTTAAACTTTGGGTGTAACAAATGTATAGGTTGTTGCAAAAGTAATTAATTGTGGTTTTTGCCATCAACCTATACCACTTTAGTGGGGAGGTTGATAATGGGGTAGGCTATGCCTATGTGGGGACAGGGGGATATCGGAAATCTCTGTATCTTCCTCCCCATTCTGCGAACCTAAAATGATCTAAAAAAAAAAAGATGTATTTATAAGTATGCAAATATGTTTCTATATAAGCACATATTTGTAAATAAACATATATAAACTACATACACACCCTTCATTGGGAACACGTAGTGAGGGCCACTGTCTCAGACATGTGAGGGGATTATCAAGTAGCTAGCCATGGAATAGAAAATCTATAGAAATTTACACCAATACAGCAGAGAGGATATTAGAACAGAAATAAAGGAAAAAGTACAAGGAGAATGCAAAAAGGTTGTAGATAACCAAATTCCCATGGCACTTTTAATGGGAGCTTTTGGAAGATTTCCAGAAAGGAAAATGATATGTATTATCCATAATAAATTATGGACAACTCTTTCGATATTTTAGTTGTGGAGATAATTTACAGAAGAGTAAGCACACAGGTTAGGGAAGCATTATGAAGGTTAAAAAAAGAAACAGTTTTCTTAGGTACTGCCTATATGTTAAAATATAAGTAGAAAGAATAACTGATTGTTTAACAGAATGTCACAGGTGTAGTTGCTACTAGAGACCACAATTGATTCTAGCCTGACAGGAATCATATCACAAGGCTGGATCAAAAAAATTAGAAACAAGTATCACTTTCAGAGTTCAACTATGAACTTTGCCAATGGCAGCGCATTGTGTCTTAGCTGGCGGGTAAAATGACTTTAACTTGTAAGGCCAAGGGACAGGGTAAGTGTTAAAGGTCACCTACTTTGGTTGTGGGAGGTCTCTTCAGGAGATATGTAGTGAGTTAATCTCATAATTGAATTAAGGGACCGTTTTGTTACTGTCAAGCTAAAATATTCTCTTTCTCTTTAAAAGGTACCCAAAAGATGAGTTTCTGATAAAGTGGAACTTCATTTGTAAAACTTTATTGTGAAACCAGCCTGTTTGTCTTTTGGATTCCTATTATTATCCTCCCTTGGGGCTGGGTGAGGTGGCTCATTCCTGTAAACCTGGCACTTTGAGAGGCTGAGGTGGGAGGACTGCTTGAGCCCAAGAGTTTGAGACCAGCCTGGGTAACATAGGGAGACCCCCCCACCCAATTTCTACAAAAAATAAATTTCTGAATGGTGGCATGTGTCTATAGTCCCAGATGCTTGGGAGTCTCGAGGTGGCAGGATCACTTGAGCCTGGGAGATTGAGGCTGCAGTTAGCTGAGATGGCACCACACTCTACTTCAGCCTGGACGACAGAGTGAGACCCTGTCTCTAAAAAAAAAAATAATAATAATAATAAAAATAATAATTCTTCCTTGGCATCAAATAAGAGGCATTATGGTTCATATAGAACAGCCTTGGTTTCTATTGCAATGTTAGCATTAAATAATTAGAATATCTTTTTAGAGATAATAAAACATTTCCTCTTAACACTTCAACTAATGTTTTGAAATATTTTTTCTCTATATTGATTTAGACATTCTTTTGAAAAATGTTTTACTATAAATGAAAGTGTGTGATAGCTCTTACCCATTTACTAGAGAGTTTTAGAAGCACAGAATCCATATATATGTCCCGTTACAGAAAATCAGCTCCTACTTTGTGATTCAGAAACAGTACTCTGTCCCCACCCCACAACTTTTTTTTTTTTTTGAGACAGAGTTTTGCTCTTGTTGCCCAGGCTTGAGAGCAATGGTGTGATCTTGGCTCACTGCAACCTCTGCCTCACAGGTCCTGCCTTAGCCTCCCAAGTAGCTGGGATGGATTACAAGTGTGCACCACCATGCCTGGCTCATTTTTGTATTTTTAGTAGAGACAGGGTTTCACCATGTTGGCCAGGCTGGTCTCAAACTTCTGACCTCAGGTGTTCTGCCCACCTCAGCCTCTCAAAGTGCAGGGATTATAGACATGAGCAACTGCACCCAGCCCCCCACCCCACAAGTTTTTAACAAGGTCATGTTCTTGTTCCTAGCATCTCAAGTCTATCCTTTTAAAAATATATACTTGTGACAGACCATAGATCCAGACTGTAGTTAAAAAGCAGCCTAGATAGAATTCAGTAGCCTAGATAGAATTGGGGTGCTTGGCTGTGTACATTAGCATTAAAGTATGAAACCAATTTTTAGGAAGAAATTGAAATATTGAAATTAATGTTTATCTTTTTTTCTTCCATTTCCATTCCTACCCCCACTCCCTACATAGGAATAAGCTGAAATTTAAACGGAACAATTACCAACTTAATTTCTTTTAAGTCCTTTCATTTGGTTTTAAAATTGTAGGAAAATTATAATGTTCAGAATTTATCCAGACTTCAAGTTTTGGATATGGATTCATTAAAGTTGCTGGCAATAGAGAATCGTTTCCTCTTTTCATGACATTAGTTCATTTCTTTGGAGACTGTTTCAAAGAAGCAGCATTTTAAAACATGGAAGACCTTAAGTTCCTTTGTAAAGAGTTGTTACTATGTAGCTGTTGGATTGATGGGACCCCATGTTAGCTGTGGTTCCCAGAGTGTTCAGTGGAACTAGGTGCAGTCTTTGCTGGCATCCTGGAAGGCCTACCCCAGTCGTAAGCCATTGGAGAACCTCTGTTTATCCGTTTTTCCTTAGCCTTTGGGTGTCATGGTTCTGTGGGTTTGGTGTTCAGACTGCTGTTTCCTAAGGGAATGTTTGTAGTTCTGAGTCACTTTAAAATTCCTGTTCTAAATCCTGATTTATAGAAGGTGGGACTATAGTAGAGAACTACCAACCAGGTCCTCCTATCCATTCCCTAGATGAGGAAGACCTGTTGAGTGTTCTGCAGTCATTCTTCTTAAGGCGGGTGCAGGTGGCATGTAGGGTTTGGAGACTTAAAAGTGTTGCATGATGATTCCTATTTTATAACTTACAGTATAGAACTAGATCCATATGTGTACTCAGTAAGGATTTGTAGTATACTCAGTTTACATGTAGAAACTCTTCCAAAACAGAAATGTAATTACTTCAAGGTAGAGAAACCCCACTGCCATTCCCTGTCTTGTGTTTGTGGCTAGCAATCTGGAAGACAGTTCATCCAACAAAAATTTTAGTACCTTTGCAAATTCTTTTTTGAGGGATATCTTGGGTGCCCATTTTAGTTTCAAAAGTAGATTTTGACACACTTCAAAATTTACAGGAAAGTAACCCAGCATTTAGTGAGTGCTTGCTGTGCCCTGGGCTTTTGATATATTTTGTCAGATGTAAGTTCAGTGAAATGTTCTTCTTCCCTCTGAGAATGTTCCCCCAATCCTGAAATTAAACCCATTAGCCTGTCTGTACATGTAGGCATAATCGTGGCACTTTTCTTATGAGTCACATAGGAAAATATTACTGCCAATTACATACTTTCAAAAGTAACAAAACACTACTCAAATGAAGAAAAATTTTCACATTTATTGGGGCAGAAATGTGAAGATTGTCATAATGAGTTGCTGTTACATAATGGTATAAAGAAAATTACTTTGGATGGGGATTTGCAAATTAGAAGGACTTAGTAGTTAAATATGAGAGATACTTTCTTTTTCTGCTTTGAAACTTTTCCTTTTTAAATATTGATGAACATGCTGATTGATATATCCTCTGATTCAAATACCTTGCCTATTTGAAAGCAAGTCAGTTCAGCTCTGTTATTGAATAAGTTTAAACCATCTATGAAAAAAGTAAATTTAGTAACGGCCTTCTTTTACCTTCAGGTCGTCTAAACTATTCATATCCAGGATCCGATAGCTCTCTGCTTATTAATGGTAAGTGATAATTGATTTACCCTAGTGAAGTGCACAGAACTGATATAGTAGTTGTGCTTCAACAGTGGAGAAATGACATTAGTTTGTTCTGTAATGATAATTATAAGTTGCCATTAATCTATCAGCTATTTTAAGAATAATTCTTTTACCTCAAAATTGTGGCAGAAACTTTTTTTTTTTTTAATTTGAGGGCCAACTGATTTTCTGTCCTTAACTTTCATTTATGAGAATAAATGAAAATCCCATAATGATACTGAAAGACTGGCTTTATCTAATATTAGCTTCTGTAGAGTGACCTTTGAAATGTCAACATAAAAGCCATTTCCACGTGGCTGGAAAAATGTTCCAAGAGGAAAGGGTAAGCAGAGATCTAAAACCAGAAAAAGGCAGCCTAAAACCACAGTGCTTGACATTGCATAGGACAAGGTCATTTGCTGTTTGCTGTCAAACGAAAACAAGAAAAATGAAGTTTGATTGGCTTTTCAGTGCCTTCATTAGACTCTCCTTTCCTGTTCTAAATACTGCTAAGATTCTGTTGAGTTCTCTTTTTATGTGCATAGTGAAGCAAGCTAAGTTTCACCAGGAGGAGGGAACATTCACTTACAAGAATTTTAGTGTCTGTTTTTTAGTATCATGGTCTAAAACAATGGGGTGAAATACAGAGGTCTTGTTTACTTCTTTTCTACTAATTTACTATGGAATGTAAATTTTCAAATTTCTGTGTGTAGAAAATGCCTTCCATTTGTCAAGGCTCATTTTCAGCCCCACACCTCTAAGAAGTGTTCTGGACTAAATAGCTGTATTCTCATCATTCCCAAAACAAATAAAAATAAAAATCCTTCCACTTCTTGATTTTAGTATGTTGTGAATTAGGAGTTAAAAATTATTTTTATGATGATCTCCTTTTTGGCTAGTGTTTGAAATCAATATGTTGTAGAACTTAGGATTGTTGAGCCAGGAAAAGTTAGCAGGAGATTCAATTTATGAGAATTGCTGGGTACATCAGATCTTCTGGAGACTAAATAGTTTATAAAACCTCACTTGGTCATCAGATGCAGGCCTTTTATGCTACAGTGCCAGAAATAATGCCATAATATAATATTCCAGCATAAATGTATTAGGCCAAAAACCAAACCCTGTGGTGACAGTGGCATCAGGATAAGGAGAGCATAAGGGACACACACACACACACACACACACACACACACACACACACACACACACGTAGAGTTTACCTTTACCTTTGGAACTAGTTCGAGTCAGGTCCAAGTACTGGAAATTGTAGTGAACCAAAATTTGGGGTACTGCTGTGTCATGATAGACAAAGTGATCAACTCTTCTTTGTCCCAGTTTCCTTATGAAGGTGTTCCTGTTGGATTAGTTGCCTCTGGGGCCCATCTTTGTTGAGGGTTGTTGAGAAAAGTAAGCTCTCTCTAGTGGGTTTTCCTTAAAGCTAAATTCACTTAAACTAGGAAAAAAAGTCACCTGTAATCCCAGCACTTTGGGAGGCTGAAGCAGGAGGATCACTTGAGCCCAGGGATTCAAGACCAGCCTGGGAAACATGGTGAAACCTTCTCTCTACAAAATATTTTTAAAAACTAGCCAGATGTGGTGGCACATGCTTGTAGTCCCAGCTACCTGGGAGGCTGAGGTGAGAGGATTGCTTGGGATCCGGAGGTCAAGGGTGCAGTGAGCCATGATTGCATCATTGCACTCCAGCCAGGGTGACAGAGTAAGATGCTGTCTCAAAAAAAGAAAAAAGTATACTATTATGAAATTGCCTTTCCTTTTATCTTCCTTACTATCCTTTCTTTCATAAATAGATCATTTTTAATGATCTTACTTGTCAATGAAAAAATAAAAGTAACTCTTCCCCAAAATATTTGTTTTTAGATTTTACTGGTCCATGAACTCTAAGAGAGGACTAGATAGTTTTTAATGTTGCATACATGGAAATTTTGTTTATTATAAAGGTATACTGACTTGGGTTAGCATCACCTCATACTGAAAGATGTGAAGATAAAGGACAAAGAGAGATGTCTTTCTTTTAAGAAACATCTCTTGCTGGCTCCTCAAGCAAAACCCAGGAGTGTGGGGTTATGATTGCCATGATCTCAGGTCTAGTATTGAGCTTCGTGGGGCCCCAAAACTTGATTTTGTCAGATTCGATCAAGGATTAGTTTTTCAGTAACCAGCCAGCTAGGACCAGATGCCAATTTATTAATTTATGATGAAACATAAAACTTCCAGGTAGAGCAGATGCTGGAGGTGACTGCTCCACCGACCTATTCTGTCTCCAGTAGCAAGGTCCAGATCATAGCAGAAGATTGCCTGAAAGTCATGAAATTAAAACTAGGTGGGGAGGAGGGGTGTTAAGACAATGTTTTAGTGACCTTGATCAAGATGTGCACATTATCCATTTTGTCAGTCATGTTTGTGAAATATCTTCTAGAGTGGATCACGTCTGTAGACAAATTAATCTCATTTATGTATTGATTCTTAGTAGCTTTTCTCTCACTTTAGCTCAGGTTTTGGGGGTGCCTGTATTGCAAATCTGGCATAATGAATTGTGCTTAGTGGATTAATTAAAGATTTACAAATACTACCCATCCCTTAGGGTTGTGGTGAACATTAAATGTGTGTAAATCACTTAGTATAGCACCTGGCACATAGTAAGTCAAAATAAGAGAATTGGAATAAGTAGTATTTTTGGTTAGGAATTAATGTCGTTCATTAATCTGATAGGGCTGCTATGATAAGTATTGCTTCTTAGTAGCTGAAAATATATAAGAAAAAAATACAGAACAAAGGATTAATATGGGTTTGCAAAAATTGTTGAAAGTTGAAACTGCTTTTGTTGTCTGTCATAAGGTAGATAACTTGAAACTATGCACCTTAAAATGCATTTCCTTCGTGTCTTGTGTCCATGCAGCCTTTTCTTAAAACTGAAAATAAAAGCCTAATTTATGTTACTTTATAGTCAGTCATTACTTAATTTTAAGACTGAAAGGTGCTATAAGGAGCTGTTCTTCTTTGTCTACCATATCTATTCAGGCTTTTAAAAACCTTTAATAAGGTAATTATATGGCCACTCTACTCTCTTTCAGTGCTAACTTTCAGAGCTTTTTCTTCCAAGTATCTGTTGAAAACCATTTCTTGTTTTGTTTTGATAAAAATGTAGAGCAGCTACATGTAAATGTAGAGAAAGGGAATGTTCTCCTTCTCACATGAACATTTGAATTTTGACTGTGATTTTTATTTTATGCTTTCTTTTGGAATTTTCAAGCAACCTCAAAGCTTTTGGAAAGAGGTTTAAATCCTCAATGAATAAAAAGAAAATCCCCTCACCAGCCTCTTACTGGAAAAATAATAACAATAATTGAAAGAAAAAAGTCAGAGTAATCAACCAGTTTTCAGTGGTTTATATTGGACTAATGTTGTAATTTGCCTGTACAAAGATGTATAGGTTGTATTCATTCATGGATTAAATTATCTTTTTCCCCTGCTCAATCATCAGTTTTCCTACAGTTTTATACAGATACCTTCATATACCACTCATGTTAAAAGGCAATGCCAATATAATTCAACAATGATTGATAATTGTGTTAAGGCTGTTACAGAATTTTTCATTTATTGCTGTGTTGTAGAGATTTTTTTGAGCAGCAATCTTGGGGAGAGTTTTTGGATTTTCAATGTATTTTTAAAACCAAACTTTCTAAAGTACTTTTTGGGTGCTATATTAGTTTGTTAGGGCTGCTATAATAAGTACCAGTGACTGTTGGCTTAAACAGAAATTTATTTCCTCACAGTTCTGGAGGCTAGATGTACAAAATCAAGGTTTCACCAGGGTTCATTTCTTTTGCGGCGTGTCTCTTTGGCTTGTTAGATAGCTGTGTCGCCACATGGTTTTTTGTCTGTGTATGTCTGTGTCCTGATCTCTTCTTATAAAGACACCAGTCATATTGGATTAGGGCCCACCCCAGTGACCTCATTTAACTTTAATTACCTTTTTAAAGACCCCGTCTTCACATATAGTAACATCCTGAGGTACTGGAGGTTAGGACTTCAACATATGAATTTGGACAGGAGGGAGGGGGTGGAGGGTGGCCACACAATTCAGCTCGTAATAGGTGCCTTTTACTAGTAAATTTCACGTAGCAGGGATATAGTTAGAATGCCCATTTTATGGTTATGAAAAGCAAGTCTGAAACTTAGTTTCCCAGTTAGGTGAGAGGAAGTGCTAAACATAGGCCAGTTACCTCAAATTCCTTTGGAGTATCTTGGCTTAGCTCTGAGATAGACATTGGATTAAAAGATTAATTTTCCTCTTACCCAGCTTGAAGCTTTATTTTACCTGAGAAACCACCATTACCTCTGAATAAAAATGCTTGTGTATTATACTTTTTTTTTCTCTAAGCTTTCATTCCACTGCTTTGGCCCTCAGGATTAACTACTTTAAAAATTAAGCTTGGGGCAGGAGAAAGTTATAGAGCAACAAAAAACCTGTTAAGTTTTAACAACTCATGTATGTATTTTCTTTCCTTTGAGGAAGAGATTAAAGATCTTTTAAAGGTAGCACAGAACAACATCTCTTTCTCTCTCTCTCTCTTTTTTTTTTTTTTTTTTTTTTTTTGTGTGATGGAGTCTCACTCTTTCATCTAGGCTGGAGTGCAGTGGCTTGATTTCCAAGCTCACTGTAGCCTCCATGTCCCGGGTTCAAGTGATTCCTCCTGCCTCAGCCTGCCAAGTAGCTGAGATTACAGGCACCTGCCACTATGCCCAGCTAATTTTTGTATTTTTAGTAGAGATGGGATTTCACCATGTTGGCCAGGCTGATCTCGAACTGCTGACCTCGAGTGATTGAACTGCTTCAGCCTCCCAAAGTGCTGGGATTATAGGCGTGAGCCACTGCGCCCAGCGCAACATCTCTTAATTATAGTTTTTTGGAATGAAAGGAGGAATATTGTTTGCTTGGGAGGGGGAAGAAATCTATCAAAAAG